AGATGCCTAGGTTATGGAAAAGTGTATCAACTTAGAGGGTAGTTTTTTGCCCTCAAGAATTTCAGAAATCTTGAGCTAGTGCTCTGGCTCTTTCTGTATAGGAAGGAGGGGATGCTAGTCAAATGTTGCAATTTCTACAGCACAAAGTGTATTTGTTTTTGGCTCCTGGTAGCCTATTTTAGAGGGAGTTTGAGAACATTTGAAGGGCTGCCTTGGTTACTCAATGCATTCTCTGCTAGTAGAGCTGGCCTTTAGTCTTAGGAGGCGGGACTCCATTTATAGATATTGCTCTTGATTTGAACCATGACATGACTAACATCAGATGTAAATTCTTTTTTTAGTTAACATGGAAACCATGTGTGCAGATGATCTTCTTTCTGCTTTGCTGTATTTACTTGTAAAAACAGAAATCCCAAACTGGTATGTAACCATTTTGGCTATACAGAACTCCATCATATTGTCTTATATGTAATGCTGCTGTAGGGGCAAATGTTTCTGAACATCTAGTAATAACTTACTGGAAGTGTAAGAGGGGCTGATGTAATGCAGAAAACTATTTTTAGTAGGACAAACAGCAAAGATGTATTACAGGTGTAACTGAATTAAGTGCTGTGTCTTTGTGGTTTTGATTCCCAGCCTAGAAAAAAGTTGTAATGGGATGCCATCTCTATACCGAATATGCATGTCAGTACAGACTTCAGGGACCGGTCCTCCCTTGTCTGTGTTTGGAGCTGTGAAACCTTTATGCAGCTTCTAGATGTTTGATACATTTCATATAGAGAAACTAGATTTGAATGCTTAATTGCTTGCTGCTAGCCTATGCCATTGTGTTTATCTCTCCTCACTATCAGTAGAAGTGTATCTAAACCTTCCACTTGTACCCAAACTGAATTTTAGTGTTGGTGTATCCATATCTGAGATTAGCATTTTTCCTTCAATTTGCAGCCATCACTTTACACTGGTGCTTATGGTGCTTGAAACATTAACATGTTTGAAGCATGTGAAACAATATCCTGCTGCTGTCCTTATCCTGTCCTTCATATTCCTTATATCTAATAATGCTTTATTGAATAGTTAAGAGATAAGTAGGGTTCTGATCTATCTACAAAGCTGAGAACAGCCATAGTATTGCTAGCCTAACAATCTTTCTAGAAGTTTTTTCTTAACCAACACCTATTGTCTGCCTGGATTGCCTAAGATGAATTGCAGTGTTAAGATATGTCATGCTAGTGTTGTCTTATTTTTAGTGGTTCATGGCTTTAACTTTTTATTTCAGGATGGCCAACTTGAGTTACATAAAGAACTTCAGGCTTTGCAGTTCAGTGAAGGATGAATTGGGATACTGTCTAACCTCAGTTGAGGCTGCAATAGAATACATACGACAAGGCAACCTCTCTGACAGATCAACAGTAAGCTACTCTTAGTCTGTCAAATGTGTATTTGATAAGCTTGTAGGACTGTGTACCACTGAGAGTAAATTCAGTCAGAGGATACAAACAGCTAAGATAAGAGTTCCTTTTCTGCACTTAAAGATACGAGTTGAGGTAACTATCTGAAGCAAATGCTAAAATGATCTAAATGATTACAATGAAGTCCTAGTCCTGTAGCAATAGTTGTTGTTCATTGTATACTCCTTGAGGAAGTAGTTAAATGTCAAGTCTGCATCTTCATATGATTAGAGGAAAAATAACAGCACTATCTTCAACAGCTGAGTCTTCAGTAAATTTAGTATCTCCTGTTTGTACTTTCTGTCATGGTTGTGAAAGCAATGCAGTACTTGTGAGTAGAACAGATTTTTCTTTAGTAATTTTAAAAAGCTTAGCTATACTAGCAGAGGTTGCAGTGTAACTTAGAATTATTCAGTAAATCTTCGTGTGCTAAAAATGCAATGTATTTGCAGCGCAGATTATTATGTTGCACCAAGTTGATAGTTTAATGGGAGTGCAGGACTATAAGGTGGTGTTTGAGGGACAAATTTGGCTCTCAGTGTTTCTAACCTAGCAGGGGCAGGAAGTTTGTGGATGCATGAGTTATTTCGTACTGGGCAACTAGACCTTCTGTCAATCAGGTAAAATCCCTGCAGGCCAATAAGGATGATATTGATGTGACTTTAGAAACTTCTATGATGTAAGAACTTGATAGCTTATTTAGTAAAGGAATCCAGTCTTACTGCTCCTGTAAAACTTTCTACTGTTGCAAAATTAGGTTTTCCTGATCTGATGTGGAAATCAAAAGGAATGCACTTGGAACCAGAGTGAATTCAATGTGTCTCAGTGTGCCCAACTGCAAAGCACTGGAATCTAATTGCAGGGGCCAGAATAATGGCTCAGTGTGCAGGGTTTGGGTTGGGACAACCTGGGGCACAATCTTAAAGAAGAAGCACTTAAAGTAACATTTTAGCTTGTTGTTGTTTTTGGTTTTGTTCTTTTCTGGGATCTTTTCATGAACCTGTCATGCTTAGTTTTTTTTGTACGCTCCAAAAAAAAAAAGCACTCTTTCATTTTGTGTAAAGAGACTGTGGTATTTCTTGTCTGTAATGCTGTATTGAACTATGTTTAAAAAAAAAAAAATAAAAATATTAGATTAAAAGGAAAACAACCTGTCAAACAATTTTGCTTCCTGCAGTCACTTGGCTATTATTAACAATCACTATACAAATAGCAGTGCTGGTGGTCTGGATGGAGAACTGGAACCAAAGTAGAATTGTCTTCTACAACAATGCCAGCAAGCTGAAAAAAAGAATATACTGCTCTTAAATGTCTAGAATAAAAACTGTTTTCTATTAAATGCGTGGTCCTATCCCTCCTTATATAGCCAAGGATAGCAGTTTTTTATACTGGATTGCACTCAAGTGATTATAACTTAAGTGTCACTGCTGTTAAAATACTATATTTATTTCTTTGGGAGGCATCTATCTTGAAAGATGAGCTACATATTTGAGAAGTCTAAATGAGGGCAGTCTCATACTGCTTATGTTACTGTCTGCACCAGTATAAGAGCAAGCAATAAGTGTTTCTGTCCATACCTCAGGGAGACCTAGAGTGCTAGCCTGTAACTTTCTCACTTCGATGTATGTACAGTGAGCATGCACCAGGAACTCCTTTCTTCTACATTGCCTTTCGTAGGAGTCAATGTGGCTTGAAGGCAGCACCCTGAGATGAGATGGAAAACAGCAGAACCTTGAAGACAAGGAAGTGGGTGACCCCTTGTCCTCCAGCACAGCTGAAAAGGAAAGAGCTAGACCACCCTTTTCTCTAGTGTAGGGTAAGGGGAGGAGAAGGTGGCACACAAGGAAGAGGAAGAAACTAGGTAGCAAATAGCCACTTGACAGGAATTGAAAAAGGGTAGTGAGGATATAGGAACTTCTGATAGCGTTGCTCTCCCTTCATGAACTTATCAGTTGATATTTCCTTTATTCGCTGGTAAAGGAGATTAAACTTTCTGTTTAAAGCAGCAGCTGTCATGTTGATGCCCCATGGTTTCCTTTTCCAGATTGTCCTGGAAAGGGGTTGTGGGATTTAAGTGAGCAGGAACATTGCTGTGCCCTGGGGCTTCATTACAGCCCCTCATGTGGCTACACTAATTTTATAGCTGGCTTCAGATGGAGCTTCTGGCAGCTGAGTAATGCTGTTGTCCAATCCCTAATGAAGGTAACTACATAAAGAAAACTCAGCAGGGAACTGATGTACCCTGTGGGATAATGGGCATATTATCACCCTCATGTCAGTAAGAAAATTGCACTTAGCAGACACTTGCCAAATCCCTTCACCCAAGGTCATGCAAGTCAGAGACGTTTTGGTCCTGGGGAGTAGAGGAGCATGTAACTGATAGCATGGAAGGTTCCATTTTATTTTCTGGGAGTTGTCAACCTTAATTAATTAGAATTCCAGTTAATGAGTGTTGGACCTTAGTTATGTTCCTATGCATGGCTAATGTGTAGCAAGACCCTCTAGTTCAGAGGGTTGAAGTAAGGAGTTAGAGCCAGCCAGTAGGGAATAGGCAGCATTTTGGTTCCTGTATGGAAAGAGCTGTAGGTGGTAATGAAGTTGGCATGGAGGAATTGCAGGTGGGAGAAGCCAGGAAAGAAAGACTTGAACACAAACTAAGGCTCATAAAGTGTTTAGGGTGGAGGGGGGCTAGAGATAATTTCCCCAAGTCATCAGTTGTAATCTGTGAAAGTCACTTTGGGGATAGGTCTTTTTACAGGTATACCCTCATAGGTACAAATATTTCATTTCTCTAGAATACAGAGTAGTGTTGGATAAAAAGATCATTAACGTTTGGATGTGTATTTTCTAGACAATATAAATTTAAAATACCTGAGAGTCCCACTCAAAGCAATCTCTTTTTTTTTTTTTTAAATTCCTGGAGTGCAAGTAAAGCTGATACAAGCGAGTTTTGTCTTTGAAGGCCCAAACTTGCTTAATACTTCAACCAATACCTGATTCTTCTGCCATTCTGTATTTCACTTTTGAAGATACATAGTTTCACCTGGGATTGACTCTTTTTTTTCTGATTTATATAATAAATAAGATCATACCTCTACATAAGGATTGCTGTCTCAAGTGACTCTTTAAAATAATTATTCCACTTGGGGAACATTTCTCTTGTAAAATACACTGTGGAAGGAACAGCACTAAAACTACAGTAGGTCTTGCTAGTGGTTACTTAGATTGTCCATAGTGAAAGAAGAAAGCTGTCTGTGGGCATTCATATTAGAAATTCTGATGAGAATTCAGAAACTTGTATCGGCAGTAAAGCTTTAACTTTTTTTTCTAATTAATAAAATTTTTGATCAAATATTTCTTAGGGAAGTTATTCCTGATCACTGAAGAATCTATTCAAGGAGACTAGTGTTATGTGCCTTATAATTCTGAAAAGATACACTTGGATATCTTTAGCTAAAGTACTTAGGTTTGAAAAGATTGGTGAATATTTGTCATGTTCATGTATCTAAATACAAACAACCTACTGTGAAGTACAGGTCTGAACTTTTATCTCAAAACTTCACAAACATGTTTTTAACTACCTTATTTGCTATACAATGGAGGGTTTTTTAGACAGCTTTATGAGATGTATCTGTGTTGATTTTGAAACTTGAGTGATCGAATTTCTAGAAAATCTGAACTCTATTTTTGGTGTTCAAGTGATCTTGTTTATTTGTAGTTCATTAGTTTCTTACACTTCATGCTGACTTACTAATGTTAAGAGTCAGATTTCTTTTACTTATTTATATCTGGTCTTTACAGACTTAATTGCAGAAGTTATAGCCTGGATCCTAAACCATCAAAGTTTATCTGATGCATAAGCGTCTATCTTAAACGCAGTGGTCTTCAGTTTGATGGATGCTGGGAGTCCTTCCATTTCTAAGGAGATAGTCATTATCCAAAAATAACATCCGAAGGAATGATATTCGCTGCCCAACATAAGCAGTGGTTGATCAGAATCAACTATGTGCAAGTGTTTCCATCTACTTTCTTAGAAAGTGTTTTCTTTAGGTTGTTGTTTTATTTTCACATGAGGTTCAATGTTGCCATTTCAAAATTTGACTCTACTTAAGAATTTTCACCTGGTTTTGGAAGCATATATATTCTTTAGTGCATCCTGAAGCGTATCTTCAGATTTCTCAGAAAATGGGAGAGTTGCACTACACGTCTGCTTATCTCAATCTCCAATTTTCAGGAAGTGACCAGTAGGAAACATTATATGCATGAGTCTGCTAGGGTAATGCTTCACCTGGTACAATCTTTTATTTTCCAGCAAGTAGCAGAGTGTTCAGCGGAGTCTTTGAGTCAGAGTTGTATCTGGGTCACCTTTTTTTAGTAGACATGTCTTACATGAATTTGTCAATGCCTTTTTGAGTCCATTTATACTTTTGATTTTTGCAACATCCTATGGCAATGAGTTCTACAATAAGAGAACATTTTTTCTTCTCTCTCTTCTCCCCACTCCCTCTCCAGACCTAATGTGTGATGATTTTGTTGGGCATCACAGTTCTTATATTTTGAGGAATAGCAGATATTCATTCTTTGCATGTTTTCTTTGGACTTTTTATAGACCACTGTAGCACAGTCAAATCTTTTCCAGAGTGAAGAATCCTAATTTCTCCTTGTAAGAAAGCTGCGTTGCACCTCTTCTAGTTCTTGTTGTCTTTTTTAGTTTTGCTGTGTTCTTTTTTTAGATGGTACAACGATAATTTCATTAATGTTCAATTAGTTCATGGAGAATTACAGTAAAGGAATATTCTGGTGAACATCTACTTACTATTTCTTTGAACAGCAGGTGTGCGGTCTTTTAAGTCTTGGAATCCTAAATGTGAAACTGATGTAGGTTTTACGTGCATCTGATAATTCATAAATGGTAAATACAATGTTTCATATTTTTAAAAGTTAATTCCACTGTTAAGGTACTTTACTTTTGCCTGTAGATGAGTATATGAGATAATTCATCTATATATTTCATTTCCAGGAATCTGAGAGGCTGTGTGACAAGTTGCTTTTAAGACAAAGGATGAACTTGTTGTCTCAGATGACTGCTACTCCAATAGACTACTTATTTAAGGTTATAACTTTTATAGCATAATACTTATGAATTTACCTACCGCACGTTTGTATCTCTTCCTTTATGCGATTTTCTGAAATGTAGTGCAGTGTTAATTACATTAGTACTGTGAAATGTGTTTTAGTAGATGCTAAAAGTGTGTTTTGAATCTAGTGCATTTCTGTGCCAAAATGTTACCAAGTTAATATAATCTTACGGATTTCAGCACATGGTATAAGAAATATGGAAGCAAATGAGTATTAAATGCTACTGCTGTTGGTATTGATTGGCCCATTTAATGCACAGATGTGATATTACTATCTGGTTGTCTCAGCTTTTAGTGCTTGAAATTGAAAGAGTTTTCTGAAATAATTTAAATGTGGTCACCTGACAGCTACTTCATATTATATGTTAATCTCATATTGTCATTCTAAAAGAATTTTGCCTATACAAGGACACAAAGCAGAGCTTCTAATTATATGTGTTCACAGCTTATGGCTAGAGAATTAGTAATTTTATAGAAATGTTTTTGCACAGAGGGAGCTCAATTTCGTGACTGAGTCTAAAGAGAACAATAGGAATTTTAAAATTTTTTATAGAAAGTGAAGTAAGCCAAGAACAGATTCTTTTTAATACTAAATGCCCATTAGAGGGTTTTGTGCTGTGACATTGTTCATTTCTGCTTTCTAATGCTTGAATACATGTCTTTTATAATCGGTTCCTTTCGTTTCATGCTTCAGTAAATTATTCTATTTTTTGCGTGTTGTGTTTTGTTTTTTTTTTTCCTTAAAAGGAGGCTTTTTATATTGGTTCCTCATTCTCTTTCTTCTCTTGGCTTTTTGTAGCATATTGCTTCAGGTAATCAGGAGGAAGTGGAGCGATTACTAAGTCAAGGTGACAGTGACAAGGACACTGTACAGAAAATGTGTCATCCGCTCTGTTACTGTGACAAATGTGAGAAGCTAGTTTCTGGGTAAGCACTTTCATCTCCACAAATACACAAAAAGCTATGTAAAAGTCTTCGTCTAAGATTTTCTTTAGAAAGTATGCTGCTTTTGGTTATAGAAGAAGTTGGTAGCACTTCGGGATGTAGTAGAGAGCGTACGTTCATGTGGTTTGAAAAACCAGAAGAAATATTAGGAGAATACTGAATGCCTTGGAAGCAGCCAGTTTTGTGATGGAGGCTGTATGTGCTTTGGTAAATGTGGGGTGAAATGTTTCTTCTCTTGAACCTAACTTACACATCTTGGACAAAACCACATCTCTTAACAAAATATAAAACTGTATAGAATAATTTGTCAATGTGAAAGAATAAAGCATAAAAAGTTCCAAAATCGTTTTTTTGTCAGCCTTGGCAATTTTTCTTTTTATCTGCTCCTTACCACTGCTGCACAGGTAACTGAGCTGCTTTTAAACCATTGTGTTTTAAAGGAAACTGAATGATCCTTCCATTATCACTCCATTTTCCCGAGATGACCGGGGATATACACCACTTCATATAGCTGCTATTTGTGGTGAGTATTGTTGCTTTTCTTCAGTGGTGTTTTCTACTCCTTATGTTCCTTATCTTTATGTTAGCATGTTTTCCAACCTTGCGTTAAAGAGTGAATTTTGCATTAAATTGTTTTCTGCTTATTTGCTATGGAAATTGGTATCTTGGCACAGACTGCAGTTATTGTATATTCTTTTAAGCTCAGTTTCGTATGGCTAAGTTATTGTTTGTTTGTTTGTTTGCTGGCTGTTTACTTTTGCCTCAGTGGTTACCACAGTAGTTCTTTCTTCAGCTGTGAAAAAAAGTAAAAATGTGTCATCAGAAACCAGTCTTGTTTTAAAGAACTGGCAGATTGAGAAATTAATCCTTTCTCTCTCCTGCAGCTGGCTATGCATGGTAGGTCTGTACCATCTCCTGTCTTGTAATGTTCATTGTGCCGTTGATCTTACATTTGTTAGAAGATGTATTAATTTTCTTAGTGAGGTTTTTTTTATAAATAATTTCTTTTTTTTATTATTATCTTGAATCCCAATAGGAGAGTGCTTTGTGTAACATGGCTTTATTTTCTATTCTTCTCTTACTCGTAAGATACAAGCATAGCTTGCTTTTAGCTGGAGGTTCTTTTATGGAGCTTTGACCTTGAGTAATCTGCAACAAAAAACCCAAATACCAAGGAAGTGAATATACAGTATATAGAAACACAGTATGCAGAAATGCAGGGTATCTGGGTTTATAGTTCATGTTTGAATTTGAAAAGTAGCAATGTTCTTGTGCAAAGTTTACTTCTTTCTTCTATGTCTGCATATTTTTCAAGGGCAAACATCATTAGTGGATTTACTAGTAGCCAAAGGAGCCATTGTCAATGCTACAGATTACCATGGTTCAACTCCACTTCACCTTGCCTGTCAGAAGGGATATCAAAATGTTACAGTAAGCACCAAAAGGCTTAATTAGAAATAAAAAGAAACACTTAACCTAAATAATAAATATATGACTCTTACTAAGCTGTTCTAGTGTTATTGTCGTTTAGGTCTTCTGAGAAGCTTTTACCGGAACTCTGTACACTGTCAGAATTGAGGATCTTTTATCATTGTAGTTTGCATGATACCTTATTTTTTCCTATACTGCAAGGTTTTCAGCCATTTGTAATAACCAAGCAATTGACAGCTATGCATGCCTGATAATTCATTCATTTTATTAATAGAAATGTCTAATACATAGTACAAATGGAGAGCCTGCTAACACCTCTGCTCTTGATTAAGACAGAAGAACCATTGCAGTCATTGGAATGAATTAAATGACTTCGCATTGTGTTTCGGATAGACTGTGTAACTATGTTAATTATTGTGTACTTAAGTTTTATATATGTGACATTATTCAGTTAGTGGTGTTGAAATTAAGCTGTGTCTTCACTTACATAGGCTTTTAAAATACGGGATAAATTATCTATATATGTATTGCAGTGTTTGCTGCAGTAGATGATTCATTTTTTCAATGACAACTCTGAATATGTACAAAGCAGCTTTTATTTGGTTCTTAGGGTAGGGCAAAACCAGTACTGTAATGCCAAGAGGGTAGTGTCTGAAACAGGAGAGACATAGCTAGTTTTTCATGAAGTGCTTCATCATGCTAGAAACCTAAAGGAATCTGCAGAGTAACAACTGTGTCCCCATTAATTTTTTAGTTACTTAAGTGTCTACTTCTATTTTTCTTTTAAGCTTCTCTTGTTGCACTATAAAGCAAGTACTGATGTTCAGGACAATAATGGAAATACTCCACTTCATTTAGCCTGCACTTATGGTCATGAGGATGTAAGTAATTGTTTTGTAACAAACTAAATGGACATTCTAATGGAATGGAATTAAACTGTGATGCGAATTTGCACTAAACTTACATATTTTAAAAAGTAAATAAAAAAGATTTGGAGGCTAACTGTTTAACACTGTAAATTAGGACTTTATTCAGTAGTTCATAGCAATTTTTATTATGCATTCACATTAAAGATAGTAGTATTGTGCAAATTTAGTTGAGTTATTTAACTCTTTGTTTAATGACACTGAACCGTAAAAGCCTACCCTTTAGGCAATGGATTATATGAGTAGCAATGAAAAAAACCTTTTTAGGATTGCATATGTTATATGAATTGAGAGACAATAGTATAATTTATTGATAGCTTTCCTTTCCTTTCTAGTGTGTCAAAGCTTTAGTCTACTATGATGTGCATTCCTGTAGACTAGATATTGGTAATGAAAAGGGAGATACTCCTCTCCATATAGCTGCTCGTTGGGGCTATCAAGGGATCATAGAAGTGCTTTTGCAAAATGGGGCAAATCCAGAAATTCAAAACCGGATGAAAGAGACTTCCCTACAGTGTGCATTAAATTCTAAGGTATTCCTTTTTATCTTCTAGCCTGATTTCTTTCTGATGTAATTCCACGGAGGTGTAGATGCTTACCTGCTAATAGGATTTTGTGGTCTGGTACTATTAAAGTGAAAATGTATGTTTGCCTTTAAGGGAGAAGGGTCACATTTTAAATCTAATAGCATGAATACAGTCTGTGGTATAGAACATAAACTTGTAAATGGGTACTTTTAATCTGCTCAGTCAAAATCTGTTACTAATATTAGGTTTTCAGCTAATTTGTGTTTCAGTCAGTACATTCCTCTTTAATGAAGTTACATTGGTTCTCTTTATTAATATTTTTATGCAGATTTTATCATTGATGGAATTAAACTATCTGACGCTTGAAAGAGGACAGAGTGCTTCTGAGGTAACAACCAATGCAAGTTGCTAAACTTTTTTTTCCTATGTTTAGCCTGCTTAATCGGATATGTAACTTTTTTGGTTTGTGGATGGGTTTTTTTTTTTTTTGCCAACTTTAAGTCACCGCTTAGGTCTCCTCAGCGCTCAACAGAAACTTTCAGCAGAGGATCATCCGTCTCAAGCCTGTCATCAGCATCAACTGATATAAGGCATGAAGAAGTAAAAAATAGCTATAAAGAGGTAAGAATGAGGTATAAGTTTTGACAATAAGCAAAGTGAAAGAAGCTAGAAGAGTGATATTTTGCAGCACTGTTTTAAATTGCTTCTTCAGGAATAGCCTTCTGTCTGGTTTGGAAAATTATATGCTGTTATCCTCAGGTGCTTGTCATCTCAGTATCTAAACATTTCTTTTTGTATGGTATCAACTGCTCTGCTGGTTATTTCTGGGGAAAAATTGAAAGCATGTTTGGAGTAGTTGTTCAGATTTACTGCAGTTAACTACATAATTTGAGAATTTGTTGAGGTTTAAAATTATAATGGCAGTCAGTGCCCCAAGGCCCTTGCTGTCCTGTCCAGGAATTAAATGCCATTGTTAGCTTACAAAATCTGTTAGGGAAAAGAGACTAGTACAGGTATGCTGGCAAACAGCTTAACAAACTAGAATGTTAAGAAAAGATTTTCAAAATTTTGTAACGTGAAGAAGTACACACTATATACTAAATATCTTGCACATATGTGTTTGCTGATTTTGCTCTGTCCATACTAACAAAGATGCCGTCCTCTGAATTTTTTCATGTGGGACTTCAGATCCATACTTTCCATTTGTCCCCGCCTAAGACTTGTCATATCACCACTCCTTCTGATACTTCTCTCCTTATTGTTTTTTCCCAGTCCTTCTGTTCTATTTTTTTCCAAATTGACCTCCTTAGTATTGTTGTTTCTGTCCACATCACTTCTACATTCAAATTCTTCCTTTTCCTGCTATTAAAAGGTTCTTCTCGTGCCAAAAGTTTCTGTTTTCTAAAAATGTTCGAGAAACTCAAAAATGTAAAGTTTGACGGGACAATATTATTTCACACTTCATTATCAGTTACTCTATGAGAGCCTCAATGTAGGCGTGTATCTCCCTGATTGTACAGAGTCAAGCACTCTAAATAAGGTCTAATATACGTAAAAGTTCACCTCATAGATTGAGGGTTTATTTTTCCTTAAAGGAACAAATTTATCACATCCAAGAGCTAAGACTGTAGTTCAAACCAGGGAAAAAGATTACAAGTGGCTTACACCTTAGATGCTTGCGGTTAATGACCTTCTCCTGTAATCCAGCTTTAGTTCATTTCTTGTTTGTCAAGTTTCACATGGGCTCACTGCTCTTATTCTTACTAAGGAAAGAGGCAAGAGCCTAATCCTGAGAGAGCTCCATGAAGGGAATGCCACTGGAAGTAATGGGAAGCTGATAAGGTCAGTTTTCCAGACTTCAAGGCTTAGACCATGGATTAAGGGGATGCAGTTAGATCCTTATTAATCAATACTGCTGGTGAATTAAACTCTTCTCTTAAATGAGCCAGTCATGGTGTATGTCTTGTATGTGATTTGTTTACAACTTAGAAAAGAGAGAATAAAAGAGCCAGGCATGTAAATTTGGAACTTCCTCTGTTGGAACTAGTAACTCCTTGCACAATTTCTGTTCAGCAACAGAAAAACTGAGCATGCGAGTGAATTGCAGTAGATTTGTTTCATCTATTTTTACATTTAAAGGAAGGTACTTCTGTTCCATGGAGGAGTGAGAAAGCAAACTGGAAGGATGGGGAAATGCAGGTAGCAGACATTTTGCCCTAAGTACTCTTAATAAATTATCTATAAGATGCATAACAGATGTTGTATGCTTCTCCACTGCTAGGGCCTGAGGCGGTTTTTAGAACTGTAAGGGAGTTGTTGTTTTTGGAAAGAAATTACCAGAGCTTGTGGGTCACTTGCTATTACTGTTATAAGTATCTTGTATGTGATAAGACTGGCTCCTGAAAATCATCAAAAGACCTTTACATTCTCCAGTGACATTATCCTATATGATTAGGGGAAATTTATGGCAAGTACAGATCTCCCTAGTATATATAGTCCATTTTAGATGTATATGTGTAGAGATTGGGATTCGGCTCACCTAACTTCAGATGTCTGAAAGACAATTGTCGTAACTTTAGACATCTATTTTCCCTTCTTAGTCAGTGGAGAGAAATCTGTACTTCCAGAGAGGAATTAATCTCAGACGTGCTTAGTTTGACCTGAGTTGCACTCGAGTCATTTGTTGACTGCATTCTGTTCTGTAGTTACCAGAGAGGGAGTTTAAATGACTGGCTTAGATTTAGACAGCTAACTTTTAGACGTTCAAAGTTAGGCAAGAGGAATCCTGCCTTGAGTGCCTAGTGCATGACTTCAAGGAGCTTCGCCTTGTATTAGAAAGGTAGAAATAAAATAAAACTTATCAGCTTTCCTAAAAAGAGATAAAAATAGATTAATCTAGCCTTTGATCTTTTAACTGTAGATGTGTGCTGTTCTTCTGCTAAAACCCTGAAGAAAGAGATCAGACCAGTAAAACACAACTTTCTTTTAGTCTCATTCTTCCTTGTTTGCATTACCAAACACTGCTGTCACAGTCAGCAAGATAGTAATTTCTAGATAAAGATTGAAATGTGACTGTAGCTGTTACTTCCTGACACCTTCAACTTGCAAGATGTTTCTTAATATTGAAACAACTTTGTTTACACAGCAGCATCTTTGGTGATGATGGCACAGTGCTAGAATAATTTGCTATAATGCTGAAAGAGATTTTCACAAAGCTTATTAGATGATTTTTCAACAATCTGCAGAGGCCGGACAAGTTGCCTATTGATAGTACTCCCTGCCCTTTTACTGGCACCTATCCCATTTCTATCAGGTTAGAGCTCAACTCCTTCATGTTAGAGGATCAGAGAAGCGGGGAGACAAGTACATCTCATTCTCCTGCTTTCACAAGCAATCGGGAGGGATCAGGGGAATGGCATGAGTGCACTGCAGAGCACCTTCCATCTCTTCTTCCTCCCACGTGCCTCTTTCCCACCTGCAGAGCTCATAAACAGGAGAATACCTACACCAAGCTGTCGTGCTCAGGCATTAGCTGGCCTGAGCATACGCATACTTAATTGACCTAACGCTGGTCCCCTAGAATAACTCTGAGTTGAAGAGACCTGGCTTTTGCTAATGCATACCCTTTGATATTTGTGTCTTTTCAGATTTTAAGTAAGAAACCAAATTTCACACTTACAATCAAGTTAGATCTGTAAATCTTTTTTTTTTAACATAGGAATAAACCAGTAATCTGCAGATGTGAACAATTGGAAAGCATCTTTTTCATCTTAAACTGTTGTTTCTCAAACAGCAAAATAAAACCTGGCATCCTTTGTGCTTCTGGTAGCATATAGTAGCTCAGCAAGAGTCCAAACAGTACTAGTGTTTATCAGGGTAGAAATTTGCCTTGAGTAGGGATTTTTAATGTTTAGGTTCACAACAGAAATGCATGGTCAGCTGCTGCTGAAGCAGCATAATAGTGTGTATCAGCTTACATGGCTTTGTTTATGTGTGGACTACGTGACCTCTATTTAGATAAGTTCTGTTTATCTTTAACTAAGCAAGTCAGAGATCATCAAATGGCCACAGGTCTTGCACAGCTTTTGTATTTCATAAAGGAAGAAGGGTTTTCCTTTAAAACTTTATCAACAAATATGAAATGCGCCCTCGGTAATCCTACCGCATGAGCTTAGGAGGTTAGTAAAGGACACAGGATTTTCTGTGTACAGCTTAATAACAATACTAACAAAGCAAATAAATTGTTTTCTTCATACATAGGTGGAAAAACTCCTAAGAGCAGTTGCTGATGGAGATCTGGAAATGGTAAGTCTTAGCATGGCTGTTGGATATTATTGAATTCCAATTCACCTCATTCAAATTGAGGAAGTTATTTGTAAATAATATTAAGTGAAGAATGCTTTGGATAATACCTTCCTTCAGTAACAATTAATAAAATTCAGCTCATTTTCTACAAAGAATATTCACTCCATGTCCCCAGATTATTTTACCTACAGCGCTTTAAGGCCCATTATTTTGACATTTCCATGACTTCTTGCACTAAAGAAATTTAAATTAAATAATTCCTTTGTGAAGGCCTGTCATTTAAAAAGGTATGCATAGTCACCTGTAGGAGATGCAAAGAACTTGGGAAGAACAACATTCAGGGCAGGCATGTTGAAAAGAAATATTGTGGGAAAGAGCAATTTATTTGCTTGCAGGTGCTCAAGCTGCACTGTCAAATGCCGTTGTTAGATGGGGAGCATGGTGCATTGCAGAACTGTAAAAAGATATGTATACTGAGGTCACAATATTGGACTCGCTATGCAGTCAGCATAAAACAAAAAAAAAAGGCAAAATAGATGAGTTTTCAGGTAAACCTGATTTTTGACAGCAAATCCAATAGAAAGCGTTATTATTCCCAGTTGCTTGTTCCTATGTCACAGAAGTACATCATATCTTTTCCCATATGTGAATTGATGCATATGCTCAAGTGGCAGTGCTGTGCATCAGTTCTGGAAATTGAATGGTGGGATTTACAGTTTGTGGTTTTTTGACTTAGGAAGCATTCCAGTAATACAGTGTTTTTAAATCCACAAATGCTTTTTGATTCCCGAATTGCCAGGTTCTCCCATGCTTTGAATATTGTCTACTCTTTATTTTGTATTTACTGCATGTAATAATTGTGCATAGGTACTATAAATAAAAATGGGCTCTATTTTGTTTGTTGTGATACCTTTTTATTAATATTTCATACAGAGAGGAAATTTAGTTGCTGACACCAGTCAGCACAGAGAAGTTATGTCAGGGTCATACAACTTTCCTGTAGTTTGGATTTCACTTGAAATAGATAGCTGATGGCTATAATAATACCAGTTTCAGAGTTGATGTTCTGTAATTTGTGATACTTGCCACCTGTATTGACATATTTTTTTAGTTACTATTGCCCTTTATTCCTGAAAATTTGAACAATAAGGTGCTTCCAATGTCATTCTACTGAAAAATTGAAGATGACACAGAAATCTGTAGAAGTTTTGTCTTTGGAAGGATGCATAAGACTGTACATTTCTCAATTGTTTTGTAGTTCACAGAACAAAATCATGAACCCATGTAAGAATGCAGGGTTTCTCTGCTGGATACATGTTCTGAAAAATTTGTTTAGGTGATGTGTACCAGGAGTTACAGATGCTAATGAAGCATCACAAAGTCGTCATAAAATAGATAATCTGTGTCACAAAATACATACCATGTTAATCTTGATTCTCTTATGGTTTATTCCAGTTAGATGATAGAAACAAATTAATTTATCTACTGACAGAGGAACTGTTCATTTCTTAAGTAAATATCATTATCCTAGTTTGCCATGTAACTTAATCTTAGTAATTATTTCCAGGTCAGCCCTTAAGTCATTTCAAGATGCAGCAATACATACAATGATGATATTTACCATCTTCCTGGCAAGTAGTAAAGATGAATGTATTACAATTAACTTTTCACAGACTTTGTGAAAATCTAAACTGCATCATGAAAATATTTAAAGAAAATTAAATATAGTGTTATAATTTGCTGGAAAAATAGTATATAGCACTGCTTAACAGATACCAGCAATGAAAAGCATATAGAAATCTAATCTATGCATTCAGATGGCAGAATCGCCTTATTTTTTGTGGCTTTACTTTCCACATTACTCGAGTTCATATGAAACTGTTCATTATAAAGAGAATTGTCCAATTGGATGGCAAAGGTTACAGCTTGCATATCTATTAAAAAACCATGGTTATTTAAAAACTCTTACCTTGTTCTGACAGCCTGAGGTCTGTCTCCATAGGAACAGAAGCAGCAGTAGGGTCATTAGTGCTGTTGTAGATTTCTGCTGTGACAGCCAATTGAGCTTTGCGAGAGGAGGCATTAAAAAAAAGTGCTATGAAACTGGAAAATTTGAAAAAAAAAAAATTATGCTGTGATTGTTCAGGAAGCCAGAAAACCACCTTTGTCGTCATCACCTGCAAACTTCAAAAGCAAGTATGCTTTAGATTGGAGATAACGATGTTAATCAATGACAGTTATTTTAATTTGCTGACTCAATGGCAACTAATTCTACATTTTGAAAATAAAATTTAGCCCACCTTGGTAAATTTTTTGTGACTGTAGTGAGAAAGAAATATTTTGGGACAGTATGGAGGGAATATCTGTATAGAAAGGATTAAGCTTTATTCCCAAAATATGTCTCGGAGTTATGCAGCAGTTTTTTTTGGGGGAGGTTCTCAAACTGTACTTTTTACGTGTTTAGTGGTTGCTGAATTGGTAGAAAATGGTTATAGCTCCATTATTGGTGGAGACTGTTAAGAGTTGTCTTAGCCCATTGTGTATTGCTTTGAACAAAGCCTTTATACAGCTCTAAGTCAGTAAAGTATGGTGTAGAAGTAGTCGATGCTGCTTAACATCAGTTTTCGGTCTTTCATTCTTAGTAATTGGATTTGGTGGTCAGGTGTACGCCATGGCTTCTTAGTGATGGATGAACCATTCAGCTTTCAACAAAGATACTTAGATTTAAAAAACAAGCAAATAAAAACCCCCTTTTATTATTAGAGTGGGGTAATACTAGAACAGACCTGGGAGATTACAGAACCTCTTCTGTTAAAAGTGTTTGAGAAGAGATTGGTCAAACTTCTGTCAACAGTATTAAGGAAGAATTGACTTTGTCTCAGCGTAGAATACTGGATTAGGCACTCTTCTGGAATTCCTTTCACCCAGCTAGTCTTGACTCTTCCAGTGGAATGCATATGTGCAAATCCACCACAAAAAAGCAAGTCTCTTGTATAAAATAAATCTTGTGGAGCAGTTAAAAGTCTGGAGTGCCCTGGAGTGCTCTGCTAAATATTCCAGAAGTCTGTTACTCTGCAATGTAAAGAAGGTTTTAGATGACAAGTTAACTGGCAAAGGGAGATTATGGACAATTTCCTGAGATGCTTCAGTGTGTCTCTGCTTAAAAGTACATTCAACCTTTTGGCCAAAAAACCTTTAAATAAAAAAAAATGGCTGTTCCACTGTAATTACTGTAATTATAAAGAGGTATGCATGGGAGTTCAGATTTTTGGTGAGACTGGTATTAGTATGTTGAGAGCTGCGTATTTGGATGATGAGAGCAGCAGTTGTGATGGAAGAGGGGGAAAGTGTCAGTTGTGAGAGTCTTGGTCAGTCTGCAGGGAAAGGGGGACGTGAAGTGACAGTAATATTTATTTTAGACATGTACAAATGTAGCAAATAGTAAACCTTCACTGATCTGGCCTTCCATAAACAGACAAGCTCGAGAGGAGATTTCTTTTTACTCCAGAGAACAACGTGGTATTTGCAGGGAAAGTAATATTCCCTGTGAAAAACATCCCTTTTCTGTCTCAATTACGTTATCATTCAGAATCAGGTATATGGCCCTTACTGGTTGTCCTTGGATTTATTCTAGCTGCATCTGTTTAATTGGATAGATTATTAATGTGTTTGGTTTCCCAGAGCTACCTTAATGGTAAGAAGCAGAACTTGCTGACAAGTGCGAGAGTAAATATATGGGAGGAACCCGTAGGAAATTCTTTTCTCCCCATTCTCTTCTTGACTAGCCCCTGTAGAGCTCTTGGATTGGTCCAGTTCTGTGGCATCAAATCCAACCCACAAATCCAGCAAAGATGCTTCTATCTCAGTTTCAGCCGGAAGTGGTTCCTCGATTTTGCTCCCTGAAAGGGCTAATTTTTTTCATGGTAACAAGGCAATGATACATTTTTTGACAGCTCTTAAAAGCTGCTAAAAAAAAAGAGTAAACGGAAACCCCTTCACAAGATGACATGTATTACAGCTTCATACCCACTATGTATTCCTGTAACTTGGTGTGGGTGGGAAGTCCCAGAAGACCTGCAGGAGCTCCGAGAGATCTAGCCTCCACACACAAGTGCCCTGATCTTCCTTCTGTCTTGGTTTTTGAGTGCTGTGATGTTAGCCCTTTTCACGCACCTAGAAAAAGGTGACTGTTAATGTATTGTCCCTTGCATTATGACATCAATTTAATTCCCACTTCTGTCTTGAGTTTCTGAAAGACTTGTCTCATTGAGCATAACACAAACTCAGAATGATACACTGGATAGATGTCAGGCTTAACATTGCCAGATGGCATAATAATGGAGACTTAATACAGCTAATTCTAAGATGTCTTTAGTTTACAGTGGATTAATGAATTTCAAGGTAAAAATGTATTTCGTAGCAGGTTTTTTTTGTTGCATAAAATTTAATGTAAAATTAACCTGCAGTAAGCATCACTGTTTGCATATTGCACATGAATGCTCTGAGTCCTAAGACTATCTTCATTGAAGGGCCTCTCTCTTCCTCAAAAATGAGGCATTGTACATGGAGGAAAAAGTGAAACTATCAGGCTCCTGGGAAATGGCAGACCTAAGAAAAGTCAGTGCCCCTGCACAGTTTTGGATATCGGTTAAATGTTGTCATCCTTGTCACTTCTTATGTTTGTTAAAGCAAACCAAACAAAATTCACATTGATATGAGCTGGCACAAATCATCTGAGCTAAAAGGATTTGGAGAGTTTGAGAATAGGTGAATGCTGAAGTCTTGATTAGGCAGCAGGAAGTCATTTATAATTTACTTCACTGCTATAATTGGTGAACTTTCTAGCTGCTTTGTCAACAATAACATTTGATTTTTTAATTTGGCCTGTGGGCAGCTGATGCCAGGAGGTAGCTGTATCGTCTCCTGAGATACTCACAAGTGTATGTTTGTGAAATCTTACTTGTCGACATGCAAATTTATTAGGACATGGAACCTTTGGATTCTATAAAGGAGGTCTTGCTTTTTATGCCAGGTACGTTATCTCTTGGAATGGATGGAAGAAGACTTAGAAGATGAGGACGACACAGTCAGTACATCAAAACCAGAATTCTGCCATCCATTATGCCAGTGCTCAAAATGTGGGCCAGCACAAAAGGTTGGAGTATTCATTCTGTAAAGAGAATAATTTATATTCTTGTAATGTAACTTTTAGCTCTAGGGAAGTAGCATTCATGTTGCCCAACACCTCTGTATCTCTGTCTAAAAAGCAATTAAGTATATACAGATCTAACAGAGCTCATCTGATATCATGAAATTGTCCTCCTTTTAATTGAACTGTAAAAAATTTTGGATACAGGAACAGTGTTCAAAGACTTGCTCACTATCTAATGGAGTGAAAAAACTTTGCAGTTTGCTTTTAGAATATGTGGACTGTTGTCATTAAGGTTTGAACAACTTTGAATAAATGGGAAAAATCTTTTTCTAAGGCTCAGTTTCTCCTGGTTCTCTTTTATAATTTACATTGCTAACTGTCACAGAGTATCTACTTATCTGTTAGTAATCAGTTTAGCAAGGAATACCGGCTAATCCTGTAATCAATGTGATGCTGATAATGTCTTTTTTTAATTGCATGACATCTTCCATACAAGCTATATCTAAAACCTCTTCAGAGATTAAATATAATTGCAAAGACTTCCTTTTCAATTGAAAAAAACTTCCTTTCCCCTTATTTATCACGGACTGTAGAGGAGAATCAGGCTTTACAATACACTTTTTTTTTTTTTAATTTAAATAAGGAATGATCCCAGCTTCTCGGAAATAGAAAACCAATTACTTACCTTTCAGGAAGAAAATGTATTGCTATGTCTTAAGGTATACATGACTGGATAAGTCATTGCAAAATAAACCAAAGTATAAATTTTCAGTGTATTGGCTACTTTGAGGTAATAGTATCCATATCACTTAACTGAGAAAATGTAAAATGGCTTAACTTAACTTCTTCTAAATTCCTCACCGCTACCTTATGTTTATTTTGTGCAGGCTAAGAGTATGCTAGCTGTTCTTAAATGCTTCACATTCACACTGTGCTTTATTCTCTGGTAACGTGTGTCCATGTACCCTGAGTACAGAGATCATGTGCTAAAGATGCCAGAGTCTGAGACCATAAAGTTCATTTTATGGATAACAGGGGAAGGAATGGCATTTGCTGTGGAATTTACTTGCCTACTGAATGAAAAGTAGAAGGAACTTGTTAACTAATATTAACTGCTGTATTAGGTAGGCAAACATCTGAGGATAGGCAGAATGAAAGATTGTCTACCACTGTAAATGTTAGGCACCTACACAGTTTGCGAGAGGAGTAAAAAAGAATGTCTTCTACTGCTGTGTAAGCTGTCTTCCAGGTAGTTTCCTTATCTTGACTCCCCATGGGAGTCTGTTCTCTGGGCCAGTGTTACTTCCACGTGAATAAAATTAATTTTAGTTTTTATCCTTATTACCTCGAGCTTCATGTAGCAGTAAAATAGGTGTGTAGTGTCTGTCTCCAGGAGCAAAAAGTCTGAATAAATTAAAGTAACTCATAATATTAACACTTACTCTCCATATGTATGAGCAGTCTAACAGCTATATAAAACTGTAAGTTTTACTTCTGTCTCAACCTGTGCTGCTTTAGCCTCTTTTTAATATCATGAATACTTTGCGTGGAATTTCTCTATATGAAGCTATCATGTTGGAAGAAAAAAGAGAAAAATAAAACTCATTGTTCAGTTGAAAAACACTACCAAGCTGCTCTGGTTTACTAACTCTTGCCCTGAAGGTCTCAAATTAGGCTCTGTAGCAGAAGTTCTTGTAATGTCCATCTACCTGTTTTGTATATACTTAGTAGATATTTGGCTGCTTTTTGGGCAACATAAAGTAGCATGATTGATAATACAGTTTTGTTCTTTATTTTCCTCAACAGAAATTTGCAAGGATCTCTGCTAATGGACTGGGAGTAAATGTTTCAAACCAAGATGGTTTTACACCATTGCATATGGCTGCACTGCATGGACACTCTGAACTTGTCTCTCTCTTGTTGAAACACGGAGCCAGTATCAGTGCCAAGAATGCAAAACATGCAGTTCCTCTTCATCTAGCTTGCCAGAAAGGTCACTTCCAGGTAACTGAGCCTTTTCATAAATGCAAGCTGTTTAACGCTTGACCACCAACAAAAAGCTGTTTTGTGAAATTATCAACAAATTACCAACAAGACTAAACCAGTAACAGTGAAAATTAGTTTGGCGATTCTGTTTTTAATTTCAATGTCTAAAATCTCCAGATAGAAAGGGGATCTTTCAACTGAAACAGTTTCAGTAGGCACCTTTTCTTTCTAAATGACCTAAAATAATGGTTTAATGAAAGTGCTGCGAATAGCTACTGTCATATATCAAACACTTCAAAAATACCTTATGCAGCTGAATCTTCCTATGTATTTTCTCTCTGCCCCTTCTGTTCAAGGAGATTATGTGTACATCTGTTGATGCAATGAACTTGGTATCTTCAATAGCCGCAGCATTAAACATTTACTGTATCTTCAACTCATTTAAGTAGATTATGAGCCCATTGGAGCTCTGAGTGTAGCAGAAAACCTCATCCCTGACTTCAAGTCAGGGAAGCATAAGCAGTGAAGGAGAAGCCTGAGCTAGTGAGGGGAGGGTATTAGTACAGGAGGGAAAGTAAACGAGAGGGGAAAAATAATGATCATGAAAAAGCAGGTGCAGACAGGCAAATGGGAACATGCAGAAATGTGGAAAACTAGGGTTTTAAGAATAAGGAACTGAGGACTTCAAAAGGAGAAAAAAAATGAGAGAATTGTGAAGATGATGGGGAGACAAAGCACTAGGGAAGCAAGAAGAAAACGAGAATACAACTCAAACTTGTAGGTTAATGAAGGTTAGCTCATGGGGTATTTACAACATAAAGAACTCTTCCAAGTGTTCTGATGAGTTCGGGAAGGGGGAAAGGATATAGTTGCTGTGGTGGTTTGTTTTTGATTAAGTTATTGATTATGTGTGTTTTTCACATACCTTGAGTTTTATTTTCTGGCTTTTCTTTCAGTTGCCTAAGGTTTTTTTTTAAAGTGTGTGGTAAAATATGAAAATTAGTATGATAGGAGGAGATGCTTGTGGTTATCATCTGTTTCGCAAAGATGAGACTTTTCTCCATCTTTTTTCTTCCATCTCTCTCTCATTCTAGATTTCAAAAAAAAGTTAAAAAAAAAAAAAATCACTGAATGATTATGGTTAGCTGGTATCTTAAATTAAAGAATTGTTATTTCTTTCATTAGGTGGTAAAGTGTCTGATGGATTACAATGCTAAACAAAATAAAAAGGATATATATGGAAATACTCCTTTAATTTATGCATGCTTGAATGGTCAGTATGAGACTACTGCCTTGTTGTTACAGGTAAGATCACTGAAAACAGAATGTTCAGAATAGTATTTCTTACGTGATATCTGTGCTTATCCAGTACTCAGGGTCAGTACTTTTAGTTATGCATTTCTCTGTCAAAACTAGTTGGGGAAAAAATAAGAGTATCTGTTGTCTCTCTTCTTTCAATCCCTTCTCTTCATGGTTTTTTATTAGATAAATATTACTTTACTGTTGTACAGCTAGCTGTTTCTATGGAACTTTTTTGTTAGGTTTTCTTGCTTACGATTCTATCGCATAGGGTTTTTTGCTACAAGGCTTCTGTTGCATTGTTCTCTTTCATACATTGAAAATAAAAAGAGAAAAACAGAATAGTAATGTGCTATCTCCATTTCATGCTACTCTGTCATTATAATTTCAATTTTATCTTGCTGTCCAGCACGGAGCTTCTATTAACCTTTCTAATGCCAAAGGAAATACAGCACTGCACGAGGCCGTGATAGGAAAGAATGAAGCCCTGGTAGACTTGCTACTTCAGAATGGTGCAATGACGCACATAAGGAACGAAAGGAACTGTACCCCTGCAGACTGTGCTGAGCCGGTGAGTGCAGAAAGCTCATTTATAAGGTTAGACTTTCCTAAAGTTCCATATGCATAATGTAGGAAAGAAAACAAATATAACTATTTGTCACAACAATATTTGCCAAGACTTCTGTATTTAATAATTATGCGTGATATAAAGACTAAGATGCCTGTTTATTGTACAATGTACAATATGGTACCTGTGGTATACGAAACCTGTTGTGTATCTAAAATAAGTTATCCTAGACAAAAAGAACGAGTCTAGAAAGAGTGAAAGCACATACGTGAATGAAAATGATATTAAAATCTATGCTAGTAATGGCGGAGAGAGCCCAAGAAATGTTGAATGTAGGAAAATGAACAACTTTCACTAATCAGTTACCCTGCTAGCAAGCTTCCTTGTTCCACCCAGCATCTTTTGCCCTTCATGCCTTATGATACCTTTTATCTTGTCATCGATAACTCTGACCTTCCCCTTTATTAATAGCAATAAGATAATATGTTATTATATAATATTAAATACTAAATTATAAAGAATTATTTCACTCTTTAAATGATTTGATGCATGGTCTCTACCTTTTATGTGCTTAAATAGCCTCTGAGATGTAGCATAAAGACCACAAAATTCTGTACTGAATCAATTTTAGTATGTGTATTACCATTTAAACTGAAATTAGCTTAACCATAAATAATATAGTTTAAAATAATAGGTCAAGACTACAAAATCATCACTCTGGTACAGTGCAACTTGTGGAACACTGATTTTGTCCTTACTCAAAATGATAGAATTTAAAGTTTGTATTTATAATGAGGTATTTTTGTGTGCATTACATTCATTTTGGCAGCAATTAATTAACACATTCTGCATAGACTAGAATCATAACTTGTACTGATGTTTTTCTTTTTCTTTAATAATGGTGAAAATGGAAACTGTTAAAATTAAGAATTCAAATATCATTAAGTTGCTGGAAACAGCACCAAGATATGTACCTACATCAGCAGAGAGAGAAAACGAGTGTGAGCAGCATGCTACTATCAAGATAAGAAAAAAAGGTACATGTCATATTTCCACTGGTACGAATAAAAAGGGATTAGGAATTCATGTGCGACTATATCAAATATTTTATGTAATTGATTTACATATAATTAAAGAACATACAACTATTTTGCATATTTAATACAGGTAACACCTAAAATACTACAACTAAATGCAGCAGACTTTGTATTATATTCATGACATTGCTGCAAACTCAGTTTTCCATTTTTTTGGTGCATGGGGGGGAATTTTACATACAAAACCATTTGAAGTTAAAAAACATGCCACATTTGAGATTGTATAATTAACCATGTAATAATTGTCCATTTCAGTGCAAAGTAAAACAGATTAATTTAAATCACCTCTAGTTGTCATTTAAATTTGCTTAAAACAGGTTAGGGAGTGACCTTTCCATTAGTTACTGTCTCTCATATGGGACAGAAATAAGAGCTACAAAGGTAACTGTCCAAACCATTAAGCACGATTGGCAAAATAATGTCTTTAAGTAAATGGCAGCATATAGTACACTCTAAGCAAATATGTTGAGACACATGGTACAGTTTGACAATACAGCTGAGCTGATGTAATGGCTTACTGCCACTTAGAAGAGATGATGTTACTCACCATCCATCCTCACCTCTTCCCTCTTGCCCTCAGCTTCTGGTATTGCTTATCCACTGCTTTCTGTATGCTGGCTCAGAAGTTTTTCAGACTGATTTTCAAGCTAATACAGTTCACTAACCTGGGACAAGGGGTGTAACAAGTTTTGTGGTGAGCTAGACAACTCAGCACAGAGAAGGACCTGCCGCCACCAGAACTGTGGAAGGAGGATAATGAGGCTGCAGGAGCAGGAATTAGGGAAGATGCAGGAGTGCCCGTTTCAGCATCCATGAGTTTTAGCTAGGCTTTTCGAAATAACTCTTGCCTGCTTGTCGCTAATGAGTGGTTTAGAGACCGCTTAAAGAATCACCGTCAAAGGTATTAGGAGAAAGTGATTTTAATAGACACCTATAAAGGTGCGACTTAACAGAGTTCGATGGCGAAGTTCATTCTATTACTTACTACATGGATGAAACATATAAAGGAAAATCATGTTAAGTCTAAAGGTTTATATCTTAGGGACTATACGTGTTTAGCAGCAGTCTAGGGTTCACTCACAGTTTTAGCCACACTTAATCATTAACTAATCACTAACAAACTTTAGCAGCACTTAATCATTAACTAATTTAATATTTATGAAGTAAGTGTTAGTGGCGTCTACCACAATCACAGCTTAATTACAGATTATGCTTACTATTAG